AATATCATACCATATTACCATATGGCATATCATTGTAAATATGAATATGACTATTGATTACTAAACGTAGCGCTTACACATATATATAGACATAATAATAGTCATATATATTATATTAATTGAAGTGTTGTTGAACAACATTAGCAACTGCATTTGTTTAGAAATGTGGTTTCTCGGAGACATAATTGAGAGACGTCGCATTCGACATGTATGATGTATTATGTATATAGACACGTCACACGTACATTATATTATATTGAATACAAAAAAACGAGAACGGCGAGAAGATCTTCTGTAATTGGAGCGGACCGAGACGACTGCCGGGCGTTGACACGACCAGAGTGTTATTGTCACGAAAAATTAATTAATATTAACGAGTATGATACGCATCGACGTGAGCATACTGTAAGTCCTCTAAACAAAAAAAAATTTAAAAAGTGCACAAGAACAATTAAAATCGAGGAGCCGAATGAAAACCGTCGAAGAATATTAATAATATAACATGATATTGTCGTAGGGCTCCGTTTTGGTATGTGACTGTGCGCAACACGTGAATTAATCTAGTTTTTCGTTCATATGTGACATGTTAAATAAACAATATGACAAGCGAAACGAAAACGGTATCTGTACCTACGCATTCATAACGATCAACGATCTATGTGCTGTGGCATATTATGCGAGCAAGGCGCGTCCGTTTGTCCCATTCCCATAACGTCGATAACACACACACACACACACACACACCACGTGACGATGACAACGGTACGGTATAGAAAAATAATATAGAATAGAATATACAATATACATTAAACATAATAATATTGTGTATCATCCATGATCCATTCCAGACTTACGTAACTATTTTATCGTACAAGTGCATGCGCACACAGCGGTGTATACCTTATGCGTTAACCCGGTTTTCAATTCAACGACTAATCGATCTAAAAAATCGTAATATTTCGTTTGTAAAAGTATAAACGCGTATCTATAATAAAGAAGAACATTGTATAACGCATAGATGCGTGTAGTAATGGTGAGACAGTGTATAGAAAAGTGATTTAATATAAATCGTATGCGATTCACCATTCACACAATAATAATAATATTATATATTTTATACTCCGATATCCAAATACGGATTTCGAGCGGTTTTAAATACAACACAAGCGATGTCACGAACGTCATGATGATTTATAAGTTTATATATTTTAATAGCACTTACTTTTATAATATATAAAAAAATAATGCACGGTAATATACATCGGTGGCGATGTGTAAGAATAAAAATGTAACCTCTTATCGAATCGTCGTCATAGAGTCGAATTATTTTAGCGTTTCGAGATCGTGACCGAAAAAGATGGTTAGAGAAAGATGGTACCGCCACGCAGCAATAGTATCGTATTATTTTAATGTTCCTTAAGCGGAAAACGGACGAAAAACCGAACGGTTTGTAATAATATACTAATATTATTACATTTAACAAACACTAACGGCTGAAAAATGTTATTTAAACATATTGAATAATGCGCAATGTATTTTTTCTCTACAGAAGTCAAACTTGTGCGAGTAAAAATTTAACCACGGAAAGTGGTTGTCGCTACCAAGGACAAGCTGTATACCATCGTGTGTGTATGTCTGTGTGTGTGTGTATGTCTGTGTGTGTGTGTGTGTGTGTGTGTGTGTGTGTGTGTGTGTGTGTGTGTGTGTGTGTGTACCTACTACCTAGTAGTGGTGGTAATAAATATGACAATACAAGTTCGCTAATTATAGTCCGGCTATAAATATAATTATTATATTATGTACCTTTTTGTTCTCTATTTCTAGTCGCAACAAACAAACAAACAAACACACACACTCAACATGCACTATGTGGTCGCGTGCTGCAATATTTATATTCGCCGACCAAACAGAAATAAATTCATCACGAATCGAACCAGCATTTAGCTCGCCGTTTAGTCATAACGACTTACGACACACGCAGTCGCGCAGTGGGTAGAGACGTATAGTTTATTTATTTATGCAATATTATATTATTCTTATGGTTGTTTCCATTTTCCTTGAAGCCAATGGCACCGTTTTCCTTAGAAAGAAGTATAAAGAACAAATTCAATTTTCCTTAAAGTATAATAACAATAACAATAAAAACATTATCTAGCAAGTCTGAGCATTATTTATATATTTTAATATTTTAAATATTTATATTGTATTCAGTATTATTTATAATCATTACATAATATAAATTAGAACCGATGTTTAGTTAACAAATAACTTACAGTTGTATAGGATTAAGCTTATAATTAATATTTTCATCCAATAATTTAAAATAAAATCAAGTATTACCACAGGGCACAGGCTATATGAAAATATACCTTATGTCCTCATGATCAATTTTACATTATATTTTTTGAATTGCGTTACTCCTCGCCAATATATTGTATAAGTCCACCAAACATATTTTTTTAGGCAATTGATTGCAAAAAATATAATCAATACTAGTTTTTTCGATAAAAACAGTACCATGAACCCAGGCTGGCTTTTTAGTTGTCGTTGATGTTATTTATAAATAATGTATACATTATTCAGAATACGTGCAGAAGTAACTACTAACTAATTGTGTAACCAAATAAACTATAGATGCTAAGTATCGCAATGGATTCACGCATTGCCGGCTCACAGATAAAACTATACCTACTGCCTAGTGGACAATGTTAACCGCAACACGTCTATGCAGTGTGTATAATAAAATATAAATTATGTTATTATAATAATAAACTATGCACGCGCCACGCGGTCATATAAATATTGGGAAACTTAAATAACAATAATAAAACAAATTGCAGTGCACAGGTAAATCCGTAAATCTAACCGACATAATAACATAACCGTAGAGAAATAATAAGTAATAACGTCGCTACCACACCATCTACTGCGGTTGTGGACAATTTTGAAATAATCTACAATCCAGGGGCGTATTTATGGGGGAGGCTGGGTGGGCTGCAGCCCCCCCTGAAATTTCAAGAAAATCCAAAAAATATGAATGTCAATAAAACTTTATTTGTTGGGTAAAAAAGCTTGAAAATTTAATACAAGGCTCCTGCTATATTGTTACAATAGCAGTTGAAAAATATTAAAAATCCTTAGTCATAGTTTTTTTATAAGCATTTAAAGTTCGAATCTTGACAAAATACGGAAAAATCACATAACTTAAAATTTTGATGAATGTTTTCATTTTTTATACACCAAAAAAATTTGCAAATATTTTGCCTCTTTTTGAGCTATTTACGGACATTGACAGTTTTCATTTTTCTTAGTTTTTTTTCTATGAATATCAATAAAAATTTTTTTGTTTGGTAAAAAGCGTGAAAATTTATCATATGCTCCTGATATATTGTAACAATATTAGTTGAAAAATATTAAAAATACATAGGCACAATTTTTTCTTATAATCATTTAAAGTTCGAATTTTGACAAAATTTATCAAATTTAAAATATAATAAATATTTTGTAATTAAAAATTTATAAAATGTTAAACTTTCATAGTTAAGGATTAAAAATTTAAAACAATGGTCCACGTAAATAGGTAAATATATAAATTACTTTATTCACAATAATATATCATCAAATATACTTAGTAATATCATAGGCTGACTGACCGTTTTCGCTTAGAATCGTTTTTCTTATACAATGATATTATATCATTGAATTCAAATTTTACACCATCCATTACAGTGACCCACTTGTTACCTACTGTACAGCAGAGCGACATCCACTTACCCACTTTTTGTTTATTGTGTGACTATGTTGATAATTTTGTTCAGCCCCTCCCGAAATAAAATTCTGGATACGCGCCTGCTACAATCTACATAAAGCATTAATTTTTCGTGCATAACGTCATATTGTATATATTGTAAATAATAATACATATATTATATTATACATTTGCACATATTGCATACGAATAAACTGAATAATATGTTATAGTATAAACAGCATACGTATACGAGTTGAGATTGTTACTAGAGTCCGAAGGTTATACTTACTACTTACACATTTACATATTTTTACACCACCTACCCCCACAAAGTTACGAATAGGTGCAATACATTTTCTTAAACCAATACGAATAGATAAAATTTTGTAAAAATTACACTGTACAGTTTGGTTATGTATAAAAATTATTTACTTTATATTTTACACTTCGGGATTTTTTTACTTTTGTATAATATATATAGGAACTATAATATAGTTACTACGTAAATTATAGCTGTTATAGTTATAGTAAGAGATTCGATCGATTATTTTCCGCCCTTCGAGGGTTATCAACAACGATTCTATAGTATTTTTATGCGCATAAGCATTTTAAAATTTTAATGGTAATCAAAAAAGGGGGCATAAGTATTTAGTAGACATTTGTCAAGTGTTTTTTACTTACAGGGTTTTAAAAAAAAGAATTTTTTCCAACTTAAGTAGTATTATATTTACATATTGTTATTAAATACAAGTGCATTTAGTGAATAAGTCTAAACTCAACAGTTTTCATTATAGAATACTATTGAGTAATGAGTATTTAAGTATATTGTGCAAAGTGACAAAATAAAAATAAATAAAATTATAAAATAAGTAAATTAGTTAATCACACTACACAGCATAAAACAAGAAAAGGTAGGAAAAAAATATCTGAATATTAAATATTAATTTATTGCGTTATAAAATACTATGTATTATGTATTTTTTGTAACTACTGACAACATATTTTATCTGTTAACACCTATCACGGTTAATATACAATTGTATACAATTCCACCAATAATAATTTGACTCTAGTACGTGTTTGACAGCCGGCCGAACCAGACGTACAGCGTTACAGTGCTTATCGCGTGTTCGTTTTTAGCTTTCCGATAGCAGTGCACACACACCAGTCTTCATTACGGGTAATTATAATGATCTTATTTACAATAACACCATTATACTGCGCGCGTAATTAGATAACGACCGCCGATATGGACGGCAAATCCATAAAATCGCCAAAGTCAATAACAAAAACCTACATGTCAAAATTTCCGTCTTCGAAATTCAACTCCTCAGTACCCCGCCACACCACAACTCTACCTACTAGTAATAGGCCTACTAAGTCTTCACCGACTACGAAAGTAACACAAACAGCGCAACCACCATCACATAAGAACATAGCAAATGATACGCCCGTAAAAAAAAACACAATCGAATGTACAAATATATTATCTAACACTCCCACTATCAACACCAGTAATAGCTTTGCCGTAACTACAGCCAAATCTAATTATCCTAAAATGAACCAAGCGATCGTTCTATATTCAATTGACGGCGTCCGACAAGTTGAATACATTACAGCTATCAGCAAGCTAACCGAACCATCTAATATAATTGCAGCGTCTAGAATCTCAAAAAATAGATTTTGTATATTCTTCAAAAATGAAACAATTGCAAACAACTTAGTTGAAAATCATGCACATATAGAAATAGATAGCAACATCATTCCGATCAGAAAATTGATAAACCCTTCTAAAAGAATAATATTATCAAATGTGTACCCCTCAATCCCTGACGGTATTATCATCAGCGCCCTCCAAGACGCAGGTATTAGATTAACATCAAACGTCTCTCCTCTGAGAGCAGGATTTGCCTCCGAAGAATTCTCTCACATAACTAGCTTCCGCAGACAAGTCTATATTAACCCTGACGACGCAAATTTAGTCCCAAGCACAATTCCAATCAATTTTGAGAACATTATATTCCATATTTTTCCAACGGATGACACGGTAACATGCTTTCGTTGTAAACAAACTGGCCACATATCATCTTCCTGTACAAACCAAATGCAAAGCACAATCAACAACAATCTCACCCACGCAAGCAAACCAACAAATGAAAATGAAACCTCCAACCTCACAGAAGGCAATCTGAATGATGAGCTACAGTTATCAAAATTAACCTTACCCCAACCAGTCTCAGATACGCAAACCTCACCCACCACTGATCCCATTCAACATAATATCAGTATCTCATCAACTGCTGCCTCTACTCCAGACCACAATATTGATAACTTTCCCCCCTTGAACGCTGAAATGGAAACAAATCTCACAGACACCCGATACAAAAGACCAGCCTCAAGCACGTCCCCAAAATCCACGATATCTATAAACTCGTCAATGGATCTAATCGATCTTTGTGATAATAACAATGCTCAAAACAATAAAACTGATAACAAGAATCATGTAATTAAAAAAATGAGAACGAAATCCGACTCAACACCTCCTAAAGCATCCCCTGAACATGACACAGACAAACTGGATGATCAACTGTATCCTACACTTGATTCATTCACCGAATCTGCGCCTATCAACTATTACCAGTTTAAACACATTGTAGAATCGTCATCAAACAAAAATGTCAATATCAACGCTCTTTGCGATGACTCTGGAATAAGTGTATCTGATCTACTTGATTTCTTAGAATCCATTCGTCCTAAACTCACTGACCGTAACATTAAAACTAAGCTCACCAAACTGCGTAATTTACTATTCCGTATAATGCCCTCACCAAACAACAACAATTAATCGATCCACTTATTACCTTCATCAAAATGGCTAACATTATACAATGGAATCTAGATGGCTTCTACAAACGAAGCACCGATATACAACGAATCCTTTTCAACTTACAACCCAGCGTACTATGTCTTCAAGAAACCAACCTAAAAACAGGTCAAACTGCCCACTTAAAATCCTATATCAGCTATTGCAGAAACCGTGTAAACCCTATCAGAGCGAGTGGCGGCGTTGCTATACTCATAAAAAACAACATAGAAAACCATCAAGTCAATCTCCAAACACATCTTGAAGCAATAGCGGTATCAATAACACTTCAAATCAAAATATGCATATGTAATATATACCTCCCTGACAGCACCAGTTTCAGCCTCCACGATCTTACCCACATTATAACCCAACTACCTAAACCCTTCATAATGATTGGTGACTTTAATAGTCGGAATATACTATGGGGTTCCTCCTATACAGACAGCAGAGGAAAAACAGTAGAGAAATTGCTCGAAGAACCGAATATAATACTCCTAAACAATGGTAGCCCTACCAGACATAACGCAGCTAACGGAAATCTATCAGCAATTGACCTATCCATAGCAAGCACAAGCATCGCCCCACACATAGAATGGAACACCCTCCAATCCTATAATGGTAGTGACCACTGGCCTATACAGTTACAACTCTTCCATCAACCTTCCAAATCAGACCCTATAAATAAATGGAAACTTAAGTCACCAAACTGGGATCTTTTCTCCTGCCTCGTAGACCAATACATCACTGAAATCCAACTAGAGCTCTCTAAGGAACATATTCCACCCATAAACCAACCGTACATTGATGAACTGGTCAACAAATTATCAACACTGATAATAAAAGCAGCCAACATAGCAATTGGGAAATCTAATCGCCCTCTAAACAAAAATACAGTACCATGGTGGAATGAAGATTGCAAAACTGCAATCACTAGATATAAAAAAGCACTCAACCGCTTCAAAAAAACCAACCTACAAACAGACCATATCCTATTAAAAAAATATAAAGCCGAATCCAGATTCATCACAAAAAAAAGTAAAACCGAATGCTGGCAAAAATACACATCTACAATAAATATCAGAACTCACCCATCTGCGGTTTGGAACAAAATTCGATCCCTCAAAGGATGCAAACACCAGCAACTACCTAACCACATGTATCATAACCAAACTGAGCTACACACAGCTCCTGAAATTGCCCAAGCCTTCGCTGAGTCATTTCAATTGAACAACAGTAATACAAACTATGAGGATAATTTTCTAATATTCAAAAACGAATCTGAAAAATATTTTACTATTAACCCCAATCCTCAACCTGACAAAGCGGAATACAATCACCCATTCAATATAAAAGAACTCTACTTCGCACTACAACACTGTAATAGCAAAAGCCCTGGACCCGATGATATACCTTTCACCTTTTTGAAAAACCTATCAGAAAATGCAACTAACACTCTTCTTGCAATTTACAATTTAATCTGGAATAATGGGATTTTTCCTAACCAATGGAGACAAGCATTCATAATCCCCATTCTAAAACCTGAAAAAGATAAATTTAATGTTCTCAGCTACCGTCCAATATCACTTATTAGTACTCTTAGCAAAGTACTTGAAAAAATGATAAACAAACGCTTAGTGTGGTTTCTCGAAACGAACAAAAAATTCACAAAACAACAATGTGGCTTCCGCAAAAACCATTCTACTCATGATGTCTTAGCAACACTTCACACAGATATAACCGAAGCAATTATAAGAAAACAACACCTAATACTAATTGCTCTTGACATAGAAAAGGCCTACGATATGGTATGGAAAAAAAATACATTAGCCACCCTTCAGAAATGGAATATTGCAGGAAACATGCTAAACTTTCTTCACAATTTTCTTCACAACAGAAAAATCCAGGTAAAGCTAGGGAACGTAGTTTCCAAACACCTAGACATTGAGAACGGACTACCCCAAGGATCATCAATCAGTGTTACACTATTCCTCGTCACCATAAATGATATATTTAGTAACATACAGCCTCCCATAAAATCTACACTATTTGCCGATGACTGCAGTATATACTGTCGTGGTGATAATATCAAAACTACTGTAGCACTCCTTCAAACCGCGCTAGAAGCCCTATCACAATGGTCCTCTGTCACAGGCCTCAAGTTCTCAGCAGCCAAAACCCAAGGCATAATTTTCAATAATAAAAAAAAAAATGACACACTCCACCATGTTTACCTGAACAACACTAAAATCGAATACACCGAAAACATTCGCATACTCGGTATGATCTTTGACAGCAAGCTCTTATGGGTGCCCCACCTCAAAAAACTCAAAACAGAATGTAAGAATAGAATGAAAGTCATCAAAACGCTGGCTCATAACACATGGGGATCTGAAAAAAACAGCCTCCTCACCATATACAAATCGCTCATCCTATCCAAAATTGACTATGGCTCATTGATCTACTACTCAGCTAACTCCAACATCTTGCGCACTATTGACCCTATTCATAATGAAGGAATCAGGCTTTCCATAGGAGCTTTCCGTACCAGTCCAGTTTCCAGTATTCTTTGCATGGCAGGCGAGCCTCCTCTACAGATTCGAAGAAACAAAGATATCTTAAAATACGCGGCAAAAAAGAAAAACCTTGAACACCACATGGCATCACAAATATTCACCTCCTCTCCTAGTCTCAGAACATCAAGGAACCATGAAAAAATCACGGACACGTACACTAAACTATGCAGCAATTCAAATTGCCTCGTCAACACGGACACCTTCTCTCCATTTACAACATCCCCCTTCTGGCAATGGACCCCTAAAATTAACACGCAGCTCCTTCATTTCAAAAAAAACAACACTTTGCATACAATAATCTCAAGAACCTTTAACAACATCTTATACTCTGAATACCAGGATTTTAATTATATTTACACTGATGCTTCCAAAACTAGTGACGGAGTAGGATTCGCTTACTGTACTAACCATACTTCAAAACTCTTCAAACTCCTCCCGGAAGCCAGCATCTTCACAGCGGAAACCCAGGCGATCAAAGAAGCATTACTATTCGCAATAACAACGTCCACAAATAATATTTTAATAATCAGCGACTCTCTAAGCGCCCTCCTAGCCATTGAAGCACCAAACCCCTCTAATGAAATAATATACCAAATTAACAACATCATGTCCTCGACCAAAAAAGTAATTGAGTTCATATGGGTTCCCTCTCACATAGGGATCCCAGGAAACGAAAAAGCAGATAAACTTGCAAACGAAGCTATCACCTCGACCTCGTCCACACTCATTTCCACTCTCCCATATCAAGATATCAAAAGAATAATAAACTTACACACTATCAATACATGGCAAATATCCTGGGACGAAATCCCAATCTCAAATAAATTAAAATGTATCAAAAAGAAAATTACCAAATGGCAAACACAGCCCAATATTTCTAGACGGTCTGAAATAATAAACACAAGAACAAGAATTGGCCATACCAACCTCACCCACATACACATCATTAAAAACGAAGAACAACCTCTATGTAGCCGATGCAATGAACCACTCTCGATTAAACACATTGTCCTCGATTGTCCGCTGTATTTCAACGCAAGGACCATTCTCAACCAACCGTCATCGATGGAGGAGGCACTGGGTGAACACCACACTCACCTGATCCACAGTTTCTTCAAACACATTGGTTTAGACACTAAAATTTAATACTGTTGAAATTACTTAACTAACAAATATATTGTAAATAGAAAAATTTGTAAAACTACTAACCTATAATATTAGAATCCTTAATTATAACTAGATTGTACATTATCAGTGTAAAAACTACTGTAGGCTAATGACCTAGTAGTCGAAGCCTTATCTTTAATAAAAAAAAAAAAAAAAAAAAAAAAAAATTTGACTCTAATTTCGAAGATAATTTATTTTTAGATTGTTGATGCCAATCACAAATTTATTATAATATGTTTTCAGATTTTTGTTGTCATCACAAATGCATTATAATTCAAATCATGTCATTGAAAAGATGTCAATAAGATTATTACTGCTGTTATTATCTTTAAATTAAATACAAAATATAAGATACAATAAAATATATTCAATAACAAATACATCGAGATCGATCAACAATACAATAGTATCTATCAATGATTAAAATATTAAATATAATAATTATTATATATAGAGAAAAAGAAGATAATACAAGAGAATAACAACAAAATTAACCTTGACAAAGATTTATATATTTTTTATTTTACTAAAGGATTTTTTGTACACATCACCTAAATAATTACACAAAAGTACATTCTTACTGAAGCACACAACTGCCTACTACGTATTTTTTCATAATTTTATAGTACACGCCACAGTTGAAATGTTGACGCATGTCGCACAAAATATTTTTAACGGTAAATCGTCATCAAATACCGAAAAGCGAAAACGGTGTATCAGCGTGACCCACAATTTTAGCAAACCAATATTCAATTTATTTATTCGGCAACTGGGGTATACCTACAGTAAATGCGTTTTATGGATTTTTGTTCCATCATACAATACTACAACATACATAACAAAACACATTGGTTAGGTTAGCGTAAATAGGCAGCCTCTGGCGATATTTAAATTGAATAATTATCACCACATAATAATATGCGGAAGCCTCTAGGTATATCAAAAAAAAAAAAAAATTCATAAAAACATCTTAATAAATATGGAATAAAAATAATGCCTAATGATGGTATAATATGATTAAGGTATAATGTTTTTATAATCATAACCTAAACCTACTATACATTGCATAAAATCAACGAGTGAAAGAAAGGACGCAAATTACCTACTTCATATACCGAGGGATAAATCCGTTGTAAAACACCATGTTTATATTGGCTAATTACATTTATTATGATTATGATTATTTATTATTACATTTTTTTTTTCGTAATATTCTAAAGGGCATAATATGATTATTAT